AAACGGAGACGTAACAATACGATATTATCTTAAATTAATCAGTTCTGTTGCCTGTACGTTACTGTAAGGATATTGTGACATAAGGTGTGTATATTTGAAGTTATCTGCTAGCAACAATACTGTAACAACTTGAATGAACCAGTTCTGTTGCCTGTACGTTACTATAAGGATAATGTAACACTAGGTGTATATAACTGAAGTTATGTTGGTTTAATGTTTCATAGTAATGGCAAGGCTTTAATGAACTTGATCAAGGCCAACGTCGGACCTGGACTTCTGGCTATCCCTAATGCGTTTCGAAATGCTGGCTTACTTGTAAGTACAATTTTGTATATCTTTATTTTTTATCTCTCAACCTTCCATCCTACTATTATTGTATTTAGGTGAAATTAAAGATTTCGAGTTTACACGTACTAAACAGTCATGGAAAAACGGAAGTAATTCTGAGCGTTACTGTTTAGGCCTATTTTTAGATAGAAGAAACTGTACATCAGAAGAAATGAAATTCTAAATTTTACTGTTTAGTTACATAGTGTGGAACTCTTCGAGCACTGAATGCTTGCTCATATAGTTACTAACATATGTGACTAATTATTTTTCTACTATCTGTGGATTATCATTATTTAGCAAAGGTAAGAATTTGATGACAAAAAATAAAAATTTTCTCGCTAACTTACTGCAGTTTAGAAGTTGTTTAGAAGTAACAGCAGTTAGGTAGTGCTACTTACTGTAGTTTAGGAATTTTACTTGCAGTAGTTTGGGAGTGCTCTTTACTGTACTTTGGTAGTGATACGTATTGTAGTTTGGTAGTGATACGTATTGTAGTTTGGTAGTGCTACTTAATGTAGTTCGGGAGTGCTACATACAATAGTTTGGGAGTGATGCATACTGTAGTATTGGAGGACTTTACTGTAGTTTGAGAGTGCTACTTACAGTAGTTTGGGAGTACTATTTACTGTAGTTTGAGAGTGTTATCTATAGTAGTATGGTAGTGCTATTTACAGTAGTTTGGGAGTGTTACCTACAGTGGTTTGGTAGTGCTACTTACTGTAGTTTGAGTCTTATATTATTTTCGTAATGCTTCTGTAATTTGTGAGACCTTCCGGTAAGTTATTTATTCGGCTATTTCTGATGTTTTTATTAGAAGCTGTTAATTTTGTTACGACAGCGGAAATCACGTGACGCTGGTAACACGTCATGAGTTTCTAGAAGGATCATGACTGTTCCTGGCAACTCTAGACTTTTCTATGCACCCTCTATTTTAGTATATAAGCCTGGCAAATAAAGCGGAGTTATAATTGCAGATAGGGTGTTACAGAGACAGGTAATCGAGTCAAGTCGTAAGTAAAGTGCGTGAATCGTTGTGAATTATACCGTATGTTTAAGTTAATGTGACTGTGGAAATTAAGTGTATTGCAAAGTTGTATTGAGAAAGAATAAACTAGTTTTATTTAAGAAAGGACTTGTATCACTAAAATTTTCATCCGAAAGAAATTATACGGGAAATTAACGAACGAACACAGAGACGTAACAAATTGGTGTCAGAAGTGGGATGGAAAAGAAAAAAAATAGAAACGAGAAGTGGCAAATCAAACTACAGCTTAGCAGATTTGATGGCAGCAATACAAGAACAGCAAAAGAAACAAGAAGAACGAGAAAATAAACAAGAAGAGAGATTACAGCAGCTGTTGGAGGAAAAGAAAAGAAACAAGAAGAACGAGAAAATAAACAAGAAGAGAGATTACAGCAGTTGTTGGAGGAGAAAGAAAAGAAACAAGAAGAGAGATTACATCAGTGGCAAGAAAATCTGCAGCAGTGGCAGCTCGAACAGCAAAATAAACAAGATGAGAGAATGCAGCAGTGGCAACTAGAACAAGAAAAGAAACAGGAAGAAAGTCTCCAACAGTTGCAGGAAAGTCAACAACAGTGGCAAAAAGTACAAAAGGAAAACATTAGTAAATTTCAAAGCGAATTAAATACATTAAAGGATGGTTTATTATATTTTACACAAGGAGGATACATTAACCATCGACTTAATCAGCCCCAGACAATGACAAGCCCCTTTCAGACCCCGCAGCTAAACCCTAATGCAGGCATCTTCACTCCTGTTAG